TCAACATTTTGAATCAAGACTAAAATCCTTAAACATGAAAAACAAGTACTGAATTTTGTTATATATACATATTTTGTTTAATTGCAATAAACTCTGGCAATGGAATGTATGCATGCTGTATTAACAGAACATGTTTTTGGAGTGATACTTTTTAAACAAACTGCTCCAATTTCCAGCAATAACGAGAAAGTGCAAGTGCAACAATTCAAATATGATGGGAACCGCGATCTAAGTTAGGAAGGATCATTAATGAATTGGAGGCAGTTATTATTAGAAGTATATGTGATATAAAATAATTTACCTTGTGTAGCATTGGTTCTGTATTAGAAATTACATGATGACAGTTATTCATGCAAAATAACTGATGGTAGTTATGTATCAGAATTATATCAAATAGCAGGGTATGTAATTAGGGAAGTATGTTGTTATTTGCAGTTTGTGGGTACGAATATTTTCTGAAGGAGACTTTTGACTCTGGGACAGAGTGCATTGCTGTATTATGTATGATTTTTGTGTTCAGTGTAGCTTTTTATTAGTTTATCAATCGGTGATTTACCATTTTAACAATTTAAGTAATTGCATCATGCAATTTCTAGTAAAAAACTAATGCAGAATGACTAGTACAAGTTATTTTGTATCACATATACTCCTTAATCCTTGTAATAAATGCGTCTAATTCATCAAAGCATCCTTCCTAACCCATTTGCATCTTGGTCGCCTTCAAAATATCTGAATTATGATTTAGAGTGGTAGTAGCTTATAAAGCCTTTTATTTTTATACTGGATTAAATATCCCCTATTTTTCTTTAATTGTACTAAAATCCTTTTCATTGTTTTGCAGATTAGCTCAACGTATAGTGCGTGGTGATGTTCCAGAGCCATTGATGAATCGAAAGGTTGATCTCCTATTTTTTTTTCCTGATTATAAATTTATGAGTTGAATTTCTTGTTGACTTCTTGTGAAGTCTCAATGCAGTCTGATTGCATAAAAACTTCTGAAAAAGGTCTAGTCAAGTTGTTGACACCTTGTAGTGTCATATTCTTCTGATAGTAGCTCATATAATTTTTTTTTCTCTTCAAGGCCTTGCTAATCTGCTGTACGTAGGTTCCAGGCCTTCATATTAAACTTTTGCTTATCACTTCCTAGGCAGTCTTGTCAGGCAATGCAATGCTGTAATTTTATTTTTTTTTGGTTTAGATTTGTATTAAAATTTACTTTTATTCTTGGGGATTTACAGTTGATCTCCCTTGATATGGGTTCATTGCTTGCTGGGGCCAAGTATCGTGGAGATTTTGAAGAAAGGTTGAAAGCTGTCCTGAAGGAAGTTACAGCATCAAATGGGCAAATAATTTTGTTTATTGATGAAATCCATACTGTTGTAGGTGCAGGTTGGTACTCTATTCTTGTTGCTCAATCCATTCCATTAGGTTATAATCTCGAATATAAAATTAGTGTAATTTTTATTTGTTAGAGATGTAGTATAACCATTTATATGCCTTCACCTAGTGCACTTGAACCTTTAGGGTAGTTGGTTCATGACACGGTATTATACCCTCTATAACCTAGTGGTCTAGACTTTGGTCTGTGCTGCCCCCATTATGTTAAAAGAAATGTTGATTTTCATGACAAGATAGGTGGACTTGTGCATTGTCCACTCCATGATTCTTTTAACCCCAAAAAGCTCTTTTCTCAGAGGGTGTGTTGGAGATGTATTATAAAAGCAATTTTGTGTTTTCATTTATCAACTTAAGCATATGAGATGATTGGTACAGGACACTATTTATAACCCACCACCAAGTGGCCTCTCTTCCCCATGCCTAAAAATCAGGAATATATGTTATCTATTTTTGGTTAAAATCAATTAGTGAACAAAATAATTGACTGCTGCAGTCAAAGCAACCTAATCTGAATATTGATTTCTACCTTCCTGTTTCCCGATAGATTAGGGGGAGGGGGATTTGATTATAGTTGAGTACTGATGGAAGAAAGTAATCCACTATAAATCTATAATCATACTGTTTATAGCTGATCCTGTAATTGGGCGGACACCAATAGTTTTTCTTTAGTTAGGTTTTTTCACTTCTTTGACCATATGCTCTCTTAACCAGATTGAATTGACATTCTGATTCACATATCTGGTCATCCACCATAGTTTTGTTCCAGTTCTATTCAACCAATCAGTAATATGGTGTTTTTTTGGTCATTTGTTCCTTAATTAACAGGGGCTACAAGTGGTGCAATGGATGCTGGGAACTTGTTGAAGCCGATGCTTGGACGAGGTGAACTTCGTTGCATAGGAGCAACTACATTGAACGAGTACAGAAAATATATTGAAAAGGATCCTGCACTTGAGCGTAGATTTCAACAAGTGTTTTGCAGTCAACCATCTGTTGAAGATACAATATCCATTCTTCGTGGGTTGCGTGAACGCTATGAGTTGCATCATGGAGTCAAAATATCAGATAGTGCACTTGTTTCAGCTGCTATTCTTGCAGATCGATATATTACAGAACGCTTCTTACCGGACAAAGGTTAGATGTGACTCTATCCCATATATAAAAATGTTGATTTTCTGTAATGGTTTATTTTACGGTTTACTTCATTATTTTAAAGAAGTTTCGTCATAACTAGGAAGATGTAAACTTTTCTTTTTGAAGAAAAAACATTCTCTCTCTTAAAAGCCTTAAGATTGTTAATAGCTTGAAAAGTTTAGCTGGTTGATTTGTTGCTTCCAGTACTTATTTTTTTCCCCCTTTCTTTTTTAGCCATTGATCTTGTTGATGAAGCTGCTGCAAAGCTGAAGATGGAGATCACCTCTAAGCCTACAGAATTGGATGAGATAGACAGGGCAGTATTGAAATTGGAGATGGAAAAGCTCTCTTTGAAAAATGACACTGACAAGGCATCTAAAGAAAGATTAAGTAAGCTTGAAAATGATTTGAGTTTACTTAAGCAGAAGCAAAAAGAATTGATAGAAAAATGGGACAATGAAAAAGTTTTTATGACTCGGATAAGGTCAATCAAAGAAGAGGTAATGTTTAGTTTGCGTTTTGTCATTACTCTAGTTCCTTCCGGACCCCACCCCCTCTTAAGAATTCTGCATCTTACATGTTATAATCTTATGTAGATTGATAGAGTCAACCTAGAGATGGAAGCTGCTGAACGTGATTATGACCTCAACCGTGCTGCTGAGCTTAAGTATGGAACCTTGATGTCCCTTCAACGCCAATTAGAAGAAGCTGAAAAGAACCTAGCTGAATTCCGAGAGTCTGGACAATCTTTACTTCGCGAAGAGGTCACTGACCTTGATATTACAGAGATTGTTAGTAAATGGACTGGTATTCCATTATCAAACCTCCAGCAAACAGAGAGAGAAAAGTTAGTCTTGCTGGAACAGGTTCTTCACAAGAGAGTGGTTGGTCAGGACATTGCTGTTAAATCTGTGGCTGATGCAATTCGCCGTTCAAGGGCTGGATTGTCTGATCCAAATCGGCCAATTGCAAGCTTCATGTTCATGGGTCCAACTGGTGTTGGCAAAACTGAGCTTGCCAAGGCTTTGGCTGGTTACTTGTTTAACACTGAAAATGCTCTTGTTAGAATTGATATGAGTGAGTACATGGAGAAACATGCCGTTTCACGTTTAGTTGGAGCCCCTCCCGGTTATGTTGGTTACGAAGAAGGTGGTCAGCTAACTGAAGTGGTCCGGAGAAGACCCTACTCTGTGGTACTATTTGATGAAATCGAGAAGGCACATCATGATGTCTTCAACATCTTGTTACAATTGTTGGATGATGGTAGGATTACTGATTCTCAAGGAAGGACTGTCAGCTTCACGAATAGTGTTGTGATTATGACTTCAAACATTGGTTCTCATTACATACTTGAAACTCTTCGTAATACACAAGATGATAAAACTGCAGTCTATGATCAAATGAAAAACCAAGTCGTTGAGTTGGCTAGGCAAACATTTCGTCCTGAGTTCATGAATCGTATTGATGAATATATTGTGTTCCAGCCTCTGGATTCCGAACAGATAAGCAAAATAGTGGAGCTCCAGGTAATGGATGTGTTTCCCTTTAGACTGATGTTGATTTATTTCATTTCCTTGGTAAATAACTATTTTTCTAATGATATTGAAGTTTTTTTCATTTGTTTACGACTTAATCCAAGTGTAAGAAACTGTTTGTTTGTCTCTATTCTAATTGCTGGAGATGCTTGCTAATACAAGTTTCTTCACTTGGTATAGATGGAGCGAGTGAAAAACAGGCTCAAGCAAAAGAAAATTGATCTTCATTACACAGAAGAAGCTGTTAAACTTCTTGGTGTACTGGGTTTTGATCCAAATTTTGGGGCAAGACCAGTGAAAAGAGTGATACAACAATTGGTTGAAAATGAAATTGCCATGGGAGTTCTAAGGGGAGATTACAAAGAAGAGGACTCAATCATTGTTGATGCGGATGTAACTCCATCGGGCAAAGAGCGTCCTCCTCTAAAGAGATTACTTATTAAGAAGTTGGACAGTCAAGTTGCGGATGCCATGGCTGTCAATGACTAATTTTGGCCACTGGAAAGCTTCACTTAGAAAAAACTAGAGTTCAAACTTTTTGTTTTGGTGAAACTCCGTACGATATGAACGTGTTCCTTGTGTTTAATTAATTATAGTTTTGTTCAATTAAAGCTTTAAGAGATATTCCTTTAGAAAAATAAATTGGTCATTTGAAGTTTTGTACAACGAAAGTCATGAAATATGCTCAATTTTGAAAAAATATAGTTGTATTTGATTACATTATTATTGTAATTTCACTTATTGATGAAAAAAAAATGATGTCGGAGAATTTGAAATAAATTAAAAATTTCTAACGAAGGATGGATATTTCGAGTAGGATAACAAGGATGGATATGGCACTTAACATGGCATTTAACATTTGAAGGATAATCAAATTTAAAAAGTTAGAACCTCAAAATTTTCATAAATTGTCAACGTTGAGAGAAATAACAAAACTGTTGAGAAAATTTTCATTAATCTGTTCAAAAGGTTGCCTCAAACTTTTGGATATGAACATAGGTCTTTTTAATAGATAAAGCATCAAAATTCAAAGGAATAAAATAATGTACTGTACATTAAAAAAAAAAATGATCCGTAGAATCAAATGCCCCCTTTATGAAAACTCGATCTCCCTCCTTCCAACCATCGCACGGCTCTCTGCTAGCTGCTGCATGAACTCTTTTGATTTACATAATTAAAGCATCCATCAAGAGGGTTATTTTTGTGGGGTGCCTGTACAATGCGAAAAGTATTTCATGATAATAACATGTCAGCTTCCTAAGCCCAATTGCTCAATTGATGAGCTCATGAATGGTTTATGAAGGGAGAAAACTCTAGAACATTAAACCTATTGACAGTTGGTAAACTTCTAATGGTTTTCTTTATCCTTTTCTTTCTTTTCAAAGTTTAGGCTAGAGCGCAAGGAAGCTTAGCTCAGAGCAGACTCCAACCAGCTTTCTTTCCCATTGAACATTTTTCTTTCATTGTCCTTCTCACATTTTCTGCTTCTTCCCACCTCCCAATGGAGCTATACATATTGGCCATCATTATATAGTAGCCGTCATTTTCTGGTTCAGTGTCAATAGCATACGTTGCAATTCTTATTCCCATCTCAACTTCATTGTAAGTTTTACAATGACCTAACAAAGCTCCCCAAACACCGCTGTCTGGAGAAATGGGCATGGATAGGACCATATCTTCTGCTTCTTGTAGATTACCTGACCTTCCCAAAAGATCTACCATACAAGTGTAGTGCTTTAAATTGGGTTGCACAGAATAACTCAGCATTCTTGCGAATATGTATTTCCCTTCTTCAACAAGCCCTGCATGGGCACAAGCTGATAGAAGAGAGAGGAAGCTAATTTCATTGGGCATAACGTTTGATTCCTCCATATGTTGGAATATCTCTATAGCAGATTCTGCATATCCATTCATTCCGTAGCCTGAAATCATTGCATTCCAGCAAATTACATCCTTCTCTTTCATAGAGTCAAATACCATTCTTGATTTTTGTAGCTGCCCACATTTAGCATACATATCAACCAATGCTGTGCCAAGAGGTAAATTGAGTCTAAATCCACTTTCATTTATGTAGCGGTGAACTCTTTCTCCTTCATCTAGAGATGCAAGGTGAGAACAAGCTGAAAGCACTACCACAAGCGTGGCTGTATTGGGCTTCTGGTCTTCCCTAACCATTTTATTAAATAAATTTACAGCCTCTTCATGATGCTTGACGTGAACATGAGACGAAATCAGAGTGTTCCATGATAGAACATCCCTCTCCGACCTATTAAATATTCTCCAAGCAAACGTCATCTTACCACATTTGCCATACATCTCTATGAGCGAGTTGGTGACCGAAATGTTACCATCCAAAAAGCCCTTTATCACATTGCAATGAATCGACCTTCCCAAATTAACTGCTCCCAACTGGGCACACGAGGCAATTGCCGAAGCAACCCCAATTGATTCAGAAGGAATGCCTAAACACTGCATCTCCCTAAAGAGCTCAACACACTTCACATCCTCCCCTATTCTACCATACCCAAAAACCATAAAGTTCCAGCAATCTCCACCACTTCCACGACACCGAGCGAAAAGCCTCTCCGCCAAACTCAACATCCCAAACTTGCAGTACATAAACAACAGCGAATCATTAACTTTCTCATCATCCACAAAATGTCTCCTTATAACCACTCCATGAAACGCTTTCCCTCCAGGCACATCCATGGAATTACCAAACCCCGAAACCACGCAACCAACAACAACCCCATCGGGGTCCAATCCGTTCTCCAGCATTTCCTTAAACAACCTCACGCACTCCCCCATCATCCCAACCTTGGCCCAAACCCCAACCATGGACGTCCAACACAGAAGATCTTTCCGACCCACCTCACAAAAAGCCCGGTACGCCTCCCACGGAACCCCACACTTGGAATACATATCCAAAACCGAAGACTGTAAAAACGAAGCAACCCCGTTTTTGACAAGCGCCGCGTGCAAGCACGCGCCTTGTTTGACATCAGCGAGGTTCCCACACGCGAGAAACCCACCCTCCCACGTTCTGGCGTTGGGCTTCTGGTCATCATCATGATGGGCATGCATGTGACGGAGACACCTCAAAGCCTCCTCAGGCTCCCCATTGTGGGCCAACCCAACGATGAGTGCAGTCCAAGCAACGACATCCCTAACGGGAATTTCGTCGAACAGCTTGCGCGCGAGGTCGATTCTGGCGCAGCGGGAGTAGAGGGAGAGGAGGGAGGCGGCGGAGGAGGGGAGGAGGGCGGATTTGGCGGCGAGGGTGTGGAGGGCGGCGGCGAGGGGAAGGTGAGCGGCGGCGGAGAAGACAATGGGGAGAGTGAAGTGGTTGGGGGAGAGGTTGGAGGCGCGCATGCGGGAGAAGAGGGAGAGGAGTTGGGGGAAGAGGGAGCGCGAGGAGAGGGATTTGAGGAGGGAGTTGCAGAGGAAGGTGTCTTTGTGGGGGAGGGAGTGGAAGAGGGTGGAGCATGGAGTGTGGTCGATGCTGAGAGAGTCGTAGAGAGATATCAGCTTTGAGGCCAGGAAGAGGTTGGTGCTGTGGCCGCTCGTCACCGTGACGGCGTGGAAACGGAGGAGGGATTCGAGGGTGGTGATGTGCTTGGAGAGACGGAGGAGTTCAGCTGCGTCGTACATAGTGCCCCATGCAGCTGGGGCATTGCTTGTAAATGATGTGTGACAATTAATGAGACAAAAGCCTTAAAACCATGATGATGCAAATAGGCAAGAAATGAGAGGGAAAATTTGAAAATGAAAATGAAAGGGTAAAAATAAGTATATGTCTAGAAATGGGGGAGGTGGGTCCCACATTTTTTTATAAAAAAATTTGCTCTAAAAAAAATTTATTTGTTTTCACCTTTTTTTTTTATTTTTTTTATTTTTTTTATTTTCACTTTCAAGCAGTCACGTATTCGAATAACAAGAAGCATTCATTCCATTGTAATTTTATTACATTAAAATTTATTAAATTTTTAATTGGTTTAAATAATTTTTTTCAATTAAATTTACTTTTAAATTTTCAAATTTTTAGTCCCTTACTCAAATTTTATTAGAAAATTGATTAAATATTATCACATAAAATCTAATTATAAATATTTCTATTAATGAAAATATCAAATTAAATTCGATTGATATTACATAATATTTTAATTTGTCACTTTTAAATATATTATTAGTTTTAAAACAAGACTTTTAAGAATAAAAGGATTAAAAATAAGTATTAAATTTGAGGAAGAAAAATTAAATTTATCTTAAATTTGATGACTATAACTATATTTAAATTTTTTAATTTAATTGATTAAAATAAAAAAAATTAATTATATTTTTAATCCTTTTTAATTTTCTTATTTATTTTCTCCTTTTATTTTATTTTTATTTATTTTCTACTTATTATTTATGTTTTTTTATATAAATTATTTCTCACTCATTTCTTTTTATCTTATCAAACATATATAATATTATTTTTCATTTATTTCTATTTAGCCTGTAACGACTTGCTTTGATTCTTATCCGTCAATTTGAATTAATGAAACAAAGTATTAAATGATTTTTAAATTTTTTTAAAATTTGCAGATTTGATTTATGCATTAAAAACTTTAAGTTCAACAATTGAATTGTTGAAATTTTATGTAGAACATAAGTTATTAAATGGAGTAAGTCTAGACAGACTTACATCTAGAGTAAACGGATATATATATATATATATATGCACACAACATAAGAATGTCACATCATCATCTCATCTCCAACAACACCATACAGGACGTGACATTATAGCATATGAACAACACAATCAACTCAACACATTATATGTTCAACACAATAACTATATGTGTCATCACACATTTTAACTAGGAAATCTCCTACAACATAGAGTAAGCAGTTTAAGTGATTTGACCATACTAAATTGACAACATAGGATGATCTTTTTGAGTTTGTTAGATCAACAACAAATTGAATATAAATTCACAACACAACAACTAAGTTTCTCGTATGTCGCCACTTAAATAAGGAAATCTAGTATTACTGTCAGGGTAAAACAACTCGGAATGAACTTACTATGATATTAGCTAGCTTAACCAAATCTCCTATGGGATTAGTCCATCGACTACCCTCCAAATACTATACTTTTCCAATATATGTGTGTGTCGACCTTGTTCACAAATGATACCAACAAAGTTCTAGAGGGCAATTAACACATGATGCACTTCAAGGATCAACTTCTCAAAAAGGATTTTTAACAAATTAGGCTCTTGAAACACTACAACACAATATCTACACAATGAAATATGCACTTTTCAAAAACTTTCCCTCTAGTCCTAAGTGGTCAACACAACTCAATAACACGATAACTCAATCATCAGTACTCATATTCAACTTGTTAATCAACATACATCTTAACAACACATCATATATTCAACATAACTACACAATCAACATACAACTCTATCAACACCTAACTTACAACTTATTTCTACTTCTTAACTAATGACTCACAACACAATCATCACATACTACTTCATCTTTGCAACTCATTCATCATATTTTCATTTGACAACTTAAATAACAAATATTCAACACTTCATCAACCACATCAACATGCTCTTATTAAACGATCAGTGTTTGACACTACATACCTTGCGCATGACGCCATTTAGACAAGGAGCTCTCTGCCTCGCCTACGCTCAAAGCTACATAGTCTATGCCTAGCATGATTAAGGCACAGGTCCTTGAGACCTCGCACTTGACGTGGTAAACCACCATGCTCGACCCATCTCAAGCAGAGAGTCTCAGTCTGACCCTCGCTCGACATCACCACATCGACGCTCGACGAAATCCAGATAAAGAGTTGTGACTTGGCCATGCTCGGTGCCACTCAACTTTGGTTTCAACGTTATGCCAACTCAAAATAACTCTCTTTCCTCATGCTTGACACCACCAATCTTGCATCCAATGTGATCGAGATAGAGAACCTCAAGTTAGAACAACGCTATGTGCCATGAAGGTGTGCCCGACGCGACATCAAAATCTTGCATATACAAAACCCAATTTTGAGTCACAACCTTAAATCCAATAAGGTTTTAACACATCCAACATAAAACAACAAGTATATACATCATAACCAACTAAAAAATGCACTCAAATTCAACATGCAAACAAGATTTTGCAAATAATCAATCATTATGGCCAACAACTCAATGTGATTCATCAACACAGGCACACACAATGTGATTCCATACTACTCACAGCTATGAAATCATTTTCAAACCCTAAATTCATTCACAACACACAAATTTCTAGCTTCCCCTAACTCGGGGTAGCTTAAGTCCTATGTAGAAGAGAAGAAAGATCGGGGCTTTGCAACCAAATCAATGACTTGATTCAAGGTTTCCACTACCTAAATCACAAACGACATGACTTAGATAAGGATTGGTGGAAGAAGAGAAGAATATTGAAAGAAAAAAAACTCACGAACAATAGACCTTCTCTCTATAATCCTTTCTCTAGAAAGTTGGGAAAAATGAGTTTATAAGACTTTGTTCAAACAAAAACCTTATATATTCTTTCCTTCGGAGTCGAATTGGATCTCTATCTAAAGAAAGTCATTTTAACACCATTGAAACTCCTAAGGAATTTCAGATCATAGAGTCTCTGAACATTAATTAACAACTCACTCAATAATATAAAACGACTAAGAGTAAGATAACATTATTACAACCTACACGGTTACACGGTCAAATAACCAAATTTTTAGTTTATTACTTGTCGCAACCCGAAAATTTCCGATCTCGCGACTAATGGTTTAGACATCCTTTTGAAAATCTCATCAATTAAGGAATGCCCGGACACCAGACTAATCCTTAATTAATAGTTTTAAAAATAGGTTCATAGAGTCGCCACCAATGTTTTACTCAAAACATTGAAAAAAGAAAAGATTTTTAAAAAGGAATCCAATAATGGTCTTGATAACCAGAATTGGGTTCGGGAGTCGGTTACTTGTAGGAAAGGTATTAAGCACCCCTACAGCACCCTCAATCGATACCCCATAATGAAGTTAACGTGATAAGAATTAATAAATTAAATATTAGATTCCTTTATTAATAACTATTTACATGCTTAAAATATAAATTAAGCGATTAACCCTAAAATATTTATATTATGACGTTTATTATAACAAAAAAAAGTGATAAAGATGAGGAATAAAAGGAAGAGAAGAAGATTGATTGAAATACCTCTTGAACGAGCTCTATTAAATCTTCAAATATGAAGAAGGTGCTTTGTGGCGACCTTTCACACTACAGTATGCCTCACAGATCTCAAGAAATACAATATGAGGGAGAAAGAAGATAGAGATGCGACACAAATTTGAAGAAATATAATAGAAGGGAGAGAGATAGAGAATTTTCGTGCTCAAAGGAGTCTTATTCGAAATTTCTCTGGCCCCCTTGAGAACTGTCCCCGAAGCTTCTATTTATAGGAATCAGAAGTGGGCCGGAACGACCCATTCTGGATTTGGAACGATCCGTTCTGGATCCGAACGTTATGTTCAAATTACGCACCCTGGAACGGTCCATTCTGAAATCGGAACGGCCTGTTCCAGAGTAGAAATTAACACATATTTGTCCTTTCTAGAATTGCCTGTTCCAAATTTGACTTGTTTGAAATGGCCCGTTCTGGTATTGGAACGGCCCGTTCCGGTATTGGATTTTTAGTTGTTTTAGTCACGTTGGAACGACTCGTTCTGATATTGGAATGGCTCGTTCCGAGGTTCGGAACAGCCCGCTCCGGGCTACTAAAACAACCTTATTTGACCTTTAAGCCTTCTGATATCCTGCCTTGTTGTTTGCCTGCTTCGGGAGCTCCTTTCCTTCATGATGTAGGTTCATTTTCTTGTTTGTGTACCTCCCGAACGAAATTGGGTGTCTACATTTCTTACTTATTTTTTTTTCTCTATTTTAATTTTCACCTATTTCTCTCTCCACAATAAAAAACAAAGTTAAAAGCTTCACTTGATTTATGGTGAAACTGTAAAACAATAGTTTGCCAATTTAGAAGAATTGACATGAAATAAAGTACATTATTACCTACAAGAAAATTTCGATACAAACTAAAAAATGTTTTAATTTTGAGGAATCAAATCTTAAACAATTAACCAGTCTTTATGAGTTTGTGTCCTGAATTGGTATTTGGTATCTAAAAGAGGAACAAGAAAGTACGCAAACAAGGTACAGTATTTGTTAACCAATGTTGCTTAGTATTTTATAATGAAAAATGTATATGCTAAATATTTTTTTATATAACTAATATATATATATATATATATTTATTTATTTATTTATTCATCGTCATTTATTTTCATTGGTCCACTTTAAAGTTTAAAAACTAAAAAAAGTTTCAAAGGAGTATTTATTTTATTATTTTAGTTTTGTGCGTTGGTGGTTCCGGTTCATTATAGCTATGATAGTGGGTTTTATGCATTGAAATTCATAATTATGGTTTTCTTTCATCTATATATTAGTTAATTTTTATTTTATTTTTACATAAAAAATAAAACATTTGGAAGAAAAAAACTCGTGTGTTGGTTTTTCCTTATATATAATTAAATTGTTGGCATAATTTTTTTAAGGATATAATATTAAAGTATAAATCGTTTGGTGTACATCAAATAATAAATCAGTTAATGATAAAATAAAATATAAATTTTAAAAGATATAATTTAAGT